GGGCGTCAAAGCCGAATTCAAATTGGGCAGAGTCGGCACCAAGGTGGTGCTCCGTACCAAAGTGGAGTATGACTTGGTCATCGCCCACCTGAGGACTTCCAAGGTGCAATTCTTCACCCACGACATCCCCGGCGAAAAACCGTTCAAGGTCGTCATCAGGGGCCTACCAAACATTGACCCGAAGTTTATCGAAGCTGAAATCAGAGACCGGTACAAGCTGGCCCCAAGTGCCGTCTATCGGATGACAAGGAAGGACGAAAACTTGAAGGCGTATCCGGATAGCCTTTTCCTGGTACACTTCCAGAAGGGAACGGTGACGCTCAACGCACTGAAAGCCATCCGGTCCATCAATTCCATCATCGTTCGCTGGGAGCCATACCGTGGCGGCCTTCACGATGTGACTCAGTGCCAGCGGTGTCTGAACTTCGGACACGGTACCCGCAACTGCAACATTAAGCCACGCTGCGGAAATTGCGCTCAAGACCATGCCACCTCCGAATGTGCTGCGGATGAAGCTGTGGCGTCCAAATGCGCCAACTGTGATGGTGCTCACCAAGGATCCAACAAGCAGTGCCCTAAACGCGAGGATTTCAAGCGCATCCGAAATCAAGCGTCCACCAACAATCAACCAGCACGAAGAATGGATAAGGCCCCGGCTTTCAGGAAGGAGGACTTTCCACCTCTTCATGGACAAGCGAATCCCAGGGTGCGATCCGCGCCCCCTCAAGAAACGTCTGGATCTTCTGCTGGACAAAGCTCTCCATCCCCCCTGGATTCTGGAGGCAACCAACCAACAATCCCGATCTGTTCTCTGTAGACGAACTGATGGAGATTTTTATCAACATGACCGGTGCTCTACGTAAGTGCCGCAATAAGCCCGAACAGATCCAAGTGCTCGGTAAGTTCATCATCCAATATGGTGTCTAAACCGCTAACCATCGCTACCTGGAACGCTTGCTCTGTAAGAGCAAAACAGATTGAGCTTGCCGACTTCCTCCGCAAGCATAACATCGACGTGGGTCTTCTAACCGAAACCCACCTAAAGTCCGGTGACAGCTTCTGGTTGCCTGACCACAACTTTATCCGGCTTGATCGCACCAGCTCCAGGGAGTGTGGTTTTGCACTCTGCCCCACATCCGCACTTCTATCATCGAGGCCATTAGTGTGGAGGTGGAATCACCAAATGGAAACGTCCGGTTTATCGCAGTTTACTGCCCACGCCAGTGTACCGCAAGTAATGGACTAGGAATCCAATTAAAAAAGGACCTGACTGCCATCACCCGTACTACCTCCCGATTCATCGTTGGGGCGACTTGAACGCCAGCCATGAAGCTTGGTGGAACTACCAGAGGAACCGGAAAGGATGTCTATTGTTTGACCACGCACAACTTGGACTGTACACTGTGCAATTTTCGGACGAACCAACTTTCATCTCTCCGACGGGAAATCCCTCCACCCTGGACTTCTTCCTGTCAAACATCGGACTATCCAAGCCGGAGGCGCACAACGATCTCAGCTCGGACCACCAACCGATGGTGACTGAAGTCGGTGTCAACGTGGTTCCTGCTAGAAGCTGCCTGCGTAAAGACTACCACCATGTCAACTGGGTGCAGTACGGTTGAATGGTGGACAGCAACATCGATGAAAATCCACTGCTCGACACTGTAGACGATATCGACCAGGCGTTGGAAGGACTCCAACAGGCCATATCCGAGGCTGACGAGACATGCGTTCGACAAGTTCCTGTGAGGGGTAAGTTTGTTGCTATTGATTCCCACACCCAACTATTAATTCGGTTGAGAAATGTGCGTAGACGCCAGTTTCAGGGGACTGGAGACCTGGGCAAAAAACGTGAAATGGCCGATCTGAACAGGCAGATTGCTTCCAGAATGGACTCACTCCGAAATGAAAGTTTCGGACGTGTTGTCCAGAATCTGGACGACCGCTCCAGACCATTCTGGAAGGTAACCAAGGTCCTGAAAACTCATCCCAAACCCGTTCCACCTCTCAGAGTCGAAAATGATGACGATCGGCTTTTAATCACCCCACAGGAGAAAGCAAACGCGATCGGCAAGCATGTCGCTTCATCATTATCCAAAGTCCGCTCGATGATCAGGTTGCGCAATGCGTTCAAAACCTAGATGCCTCCCCTTGTGTCGTGCCTCCGGCGGATATGATTACAGTACAACAAATTTGCTCAGCGCTGAAATGCACCAAAAACATTAAGGCACCCGAGTTTGACGGTATATTCAACTTGATCTTGAAGAGACTCAGCATGAAAGTGCAGTCTCTTCTAACCGCTATCTTCAACAGATGTTTGGAACTGCACTACTTTCCAAGCATCTAGAAAGTAGCAAAAATCATACCAATCTGCAAACCCGGTAAGGATCCAACATTGCCTTCAAGCTACAGACCAATCAGCCTCCTTTCAGCGCTGAGCAAATTGTTCAAGAAACTCATTCTCAATCGTTTGCTCAAGTTTGTCGAGGATAATAACATTCTCCTTCCGGAACAGTTTGGGTTCAGAAAGGGGCACTCCACCAATCACCAGCTAGTGCGGGTGATGAATAACATCCGAAGTAACAAAGCTGTATCCAAGTCCACAGCCATGGCCTTGTTAGACGTTGAAAAGGTATTTGACAATGTTTGGCATGACGGACTTGTGTACAAGCTTTGTAACTTCAACTTTCCATTACATCTAGTTAAAATCACCCGTAACTACCTTCAGCAAAGGTCGTTTAAGGTATCGTTGAATGGTTGTCTTTCAGACACGTTTTCCATCCCAGCAGGAGTCCCGCAAGGCAGTCTGCTGGGCCCCGTGCTTTACAGCATTTACACTTCCGACATTCCTCCCCTCGATGACGGTTGCGTGTTTTTCCTGTTCGCAGATGATACCGCAATAGCCGTCAAAGGAAGGATGCCTCGCGAAATAACGAACAAACTTCAACGATGCCTTAACGCCTTTGCTGATTATGCCACCACGTGGAAAATCAAAATCAATGCCTCCAAAACACAAGCGATCATGTTCCTCCATCGGCAATCGCCCAAACTGAAACCGGCTCCATCTTGTACTGTAATCATGAATGGCACAAGGGTTGAGTGGTCTGCCGAAGTTACCTATCTCGGGATGTTGATCGATGAAAAGCTCCTCTTCCGTTCGCATGTAGAGAAAACTGTAGTCAAGTGTTCTACCTTGGCTAGGTGTCTGTATCCGCTGATTTGCCGCAGATCCCGCCTCTCAAGGGTGAATAAACTGGCCGTCTACAAACAAATCATAGCACCTGCGATCCTCTACGCAGCTCCGGTGTGGGAATCATGTGCACAGACTCACAGGAACAAAATCCAGGTCGCTCAGAATAGAGTGCTGAGGATGGTTCTTGATCGTCCTTTCGACACTAGAATAACAAATTTACATGAAGAGGTAGGCATGGCCAAAATAGATTCCCGAATTAACGAAATTAATACTAAATTTGCACAAAACTGTAATCTATCAGCACATGCTTTGATAAGCAATTTGTATATAGTAGATTAGGTGTATATAGTAGTTGTAGGTTAGTTATAGTTGTAAATAGTAGTTATAAGTAGTCTCCTTCTTCAAATTTAAAACAAACCAATCCCACCAAGGTGGTAATTCTTAAAACAGGCCTGATAGGATTAGGAACTGTAATTAATAATAATTGAAATCTCAAAGAAACTTATGTTGAAAAGACGAAAGTGACATAAGTTATACATGTAAACCACACAAATTCAAGAAATATAGATCATTTAAAGAAAAGCTCATTACCGTTTCGGACTGCGTGGCACTAGGTCCTGCATCAAGCAGGACTAGGTTAGCGGCTAAAGGTGGATCACAGCGTATCCACCACAATGAGGAATGAGACTTGAAAAAACGTGCATGTTAAACCCCCTCCCGCTTAACAACCCCCTCCCCCTCCCCCTCCCCCTCCCGCTTAACAATAACCCGAAAAAGACATAGACTTTGACGATCATTTTTTTTTCAGGAAATAAATTTTAAGCAAACCCCAATAATGTATGAACAATTAATTTTTTACATGCAGAGCTAACATTTTCAAAAAAAAAATTGCTTCCCAATTAGCGAACTGTTATTAACGTTGATAACAATTTTAATGTTTTCAGCGGAGTTTTGGTACAGTTTTCCAGTTCCCTGAATCATTGAAACATTTAGAACCCTAAGACTAGATGTGTATGGAGAAGCTTAAGAATAATTAAAAAAAAATCCTAGCTACACCAATGAATGACCGCTGCCGTCGGGATTCAAACAAACACCACACCACTTTGACAGGCATTTGCCATACAAAAAACCTCACTTTTCTTCACAGTACATTTAATTTCCCACCGACCATCATCCTTTCGCGAAACCAACCGACTAAAATTACACGCCAACCATCCAACCAACAATAACATCCCTTCCATTGAGCGCAGGAAAATCCTGGCAGCCAGCCGCTGCCAAAATGGTTGCCTACCAAATGCCGATGGATGGTGGCTGGGGTGAGATGCGCGAATTTTCTTCGCGGGTCGTTAATTTTTGCCGAGTACGATTTCTCGGACTCCTACCACTTACTACCACTACTAAACCGGAGTTACACCGGAGGGATAGGAACAAATGGCACCTTAGCGCCGTTGTTGTTTGCAACAGTTCATCATTCTAATGGGCTCATTAAGCGCTCCACTCCGTACTCTTCAGGATTAACGATTTTGTTTTCGGTAATAAGTAATTCGTTCTGGAGCTTACGTAAAAGTCTGCTCCTTGCTTGGATCCTTGGATTCCTTTTAGCCTCGCAAGGGAAATTCTCCCGAAGCGGGTGTGGAATGCCTTGCTCATATTTCACCGATCGTTTTCAATAAAAATAAGAAAACACCGACCGACCGACCGACCGAAGCAGAGATTCAATATTTACTGTCCCATAACCTTTTTGCGCCTTTGCTTTCCCAAATGAGCTCATATCGTCTTTCTTCACATTTTTCTTCCGGTCGCACAGGTTTGCAGCAAAGTGTTCGGGAATGCTTCCGCCCTGGCCAAGCACAAACTGACGCACAGCGACGAACGGAAGTATGTCTGTGGAATGTGCTCGAAGGCGTTCAAAAGGCAGGACCATCTGTAAGTATACACACACATACACTGCTTGAACTAATATTGTCACCCCACCCGTCCCCTTCCTCGTCTCAATCAAAGGAATGTCCCCTAGCATACTCAGAAACACACTCGCCCAACCGGCCACCCGCCCACCTGTGATTAATTGGAATTCCTTTCTCTGCGTTTGTGCCGTTGTCATTGCAGGAATGGCCACATGCTGACACATCGGAACAAAAAGCCGTACGAGTGCAAGGCCGAGGGTTGCGGCAAGTCCTACTGCGACGCCCGTTCGCTGCGGAGGCACACCGAGAACCACCACAGCGCAGCCGGTGGTGGGCTGGGACTGTCCGGATCGACTACGCCGACGCCCATGGCAGCGCCCAGCCCCGGACCGGTGCTGACGGTGACGGCCCCGACGACGATGACGACGACGGCTTCCTCCTCGGCGAGTACGGCACTGACGGCCATCTCGACGGCCTGCAGCAACACCACGGGGCCGCTCAGCGGGCTCAGCCTCTCGCCGGCTACTGCTAGCGGTAAGTTTAGTGGGTTTAGTGGATTATTGATTGTTATGCTCTAGAAATATTCGGGAAATCTTTTTATCCAGCGACCAGATGTAGTTGTTGATACAGTTAACCCTACATATCTCGATTTTCTTTATCTCGATATGTGACCACTTTTTGCAATCTGTTGATGGTCCCGTAAATATCGAGATATGAAGAATGGTTATGAGACATATCAAATTTGACCATATGCTTGATCCGGAATATCCGAAACCGGTTCAATGGCAATGGCGCACGGATCGCTGAATGAACCATCGCACTTCACTTCACATATCTTGATGATAGCGCACGTCAACGATTATCATCGATGTGGAGTATCGGAAGAACAAAAGTTATCAGAAAAATTGAACGATCCAGAACGTGAACAAACAGTGATTCTAATATTCTTTATTATGTGTAGTTAGAAGTAGTTGTACTTAAACTAGTGGATTTAAATACGATATCTACGATACGAAGTGGTGCAAGATCTTCATGAGATCACGTTGTACATTTGCCATTCGCGCAATCGTCCGGATGCAGTGGAATTGGACATGGTAGAATGCAGTATGTGCAATAGACTGATGCAAAATTTGACTTTTTCGCTCCACACTGCTTAAATGGTTTCAAATCGGATCCTGATTAGCCTCCCAAAGTTACAACTCATTTCGTTAGAAACAGACTTCGCACAAGCCATTTGAAATTTACATGTAAATTACTATGAAAAATCTAATTTTTTCGTTCATTGCCTTCTAGTCTTTTTTCATATTGAGCTTTAAAATAGATCAATAGCCATTCTTATAGAAAATTTTCTCAGCTACAACTTTGCTGAAGATCGTTCCTATGTAAAACGAGGCAGGAAAAAGTTATTAATTATTTAAGAGATTGGTAAACTTATGACATGATTAAGCAGCTGCTCTGTAGGCAACACTGTATTTTGCAGTGTGACATAGTAGCCATGATTTTTGTGTCCTATTCAACGCCCCAGAAACACCAATGTTGCCTGCTGAGCATTGATTGAGCATGATCATAAGACATCAGCGCATTGAAGCATTGATAACTTTCGATCCTTTCATTTAATCAAAAAGTGATTTTCAGCAAAGTTGTAGCTGGGACAATTTCCTACAATTACAGTTGACAGTTTTAGAAGCAGACCGATATGGTGAATTATTAGATAGACATGAACAAAAATCTTGGTTTTACCAAAGTAATTCCCATACAAACTTCAAATGGTTTGTGCCATCTCAGTTTCTCACCAAATGGGTTCAAATTTTGAGAGGTTAGTCAGGATCCGCTTTGGAATCGTTTAAGTATTGTGGAGCGAAAATTTCAAATTTTGCATCACTCTAATGTGCAAGCTATGGGAGCATTTTGGCTATGCAGGTGTTGATCAACGGATCTAGTGGGTAAAACATTTAAAATGCTGGATTCGTGCTTCCATTAGTCGTCCTTTAAACGCACAATTATTGTACACCACTCCCATCACATATACTATTTCAATCCAACAACGTGAGAAGCTTGCAGTAATTCTGATAACAGGTTTCTCCCGTTCCTTCAATCCAATCGTCTCAAAAGTGACCTTTCAATTGCTATACTACTGCAACTGTTAATTTAATATACCGAATCCCACAAGGGGATCGAATAACCTTTTGGAAAGTAAAGTCGGCACGTATCGTCGATTCTCAGCGAGAGACGTCTCTGATGAAACCAATTGAATTCCACTCATACAAACACACACACACACCCCAGCCAAAGTATAAGTCCTCCAATTAAGCACCCCGTATGTGAGCAGAATGCAGTATGCCGTCGTAATTGGATGCTACGCCTCCTTAGTTAAAGAATCACATTTTTGTCCTAGTCTAGAGACCGTGATTAGTTTTTACCTGGCTTGCTTTGGTTTGGCTAGATTTTGCCCCAGCTCAGCTCCAGGAATGTGTCAATTTCTACCTTTTCCATCCAGCTACTATAGTGGAAATTCTCCGAAGGTTAGTTCCAAGCAAAGTGGCATCGTCGTCAAATGGCTGGCTGGCATATGACAAATGAGGTGAGCTGCCTGACGAACGAGATATGAGCGGTGAAGAAAAATGTGCCATTCTCCTCATCTTTTTTTTTTTTGTTGACGCTTTGCTAGAAGATTGGAATGGATCCGAGAGGAACGTTCCGATAACAAGAAAGACGTGCTTCCCTTCCGGTGCCAATACACACGTACGGACATTGTATACACATATACATCTCGTTGGACGATGATGGATGAAGGTTTGAGAGTTTGATGTGGGAAAGAAAATGTGAGAAAAATGAAAATCTACCCCCGGCCACGGATGCTGCTGCTCCTGTCTGTGTCCGTTTGCCCTGGAGGAAGGTCACTCGACAAAGGAAGGTGAGGAAATTCCTAACTTTGCCAGCGACGGTCCTTTCTTGAGCCGTAGGTATGTGACGAGGGGGGGAAATTGTGTAACTTTTTTTAAGATGAGGAAAAATGCGATTGCCGTTGATAGTTCGTTAGGATGGCATGGAAAGGATTTTTTTCTGTTTTCTTCCGGATTCACTCTGCGATTGTGAGGGTAGGGCCTGGTAAGGTAAGGAACGATGCTTTTTTTTTTAAATTGATGCTTAAAGGCCTTCAACAGTTGTTGACAAACATTTTCCAGTAGATGTAAAGCTCGGAATCATTTATTCACCACATTCTCTCAATGAAGATAAACCTTCGTATCATTTCAGGTGATGCCAGCTCCCCACATGGAGCCACCTGCAGCATCCAGTTCACCTCGGCGTCCACGTACGGTTCGTCCGGCAGCAGCCCGATCACCACCAGCACCGCCGCCAACGGCACCACCAGCATCGGCAATTGCAACAGTACAATCTCTACCACTAATTCCACCGGAAGCATCTCGGTCACCCTGAACGGCATCGGCGGTGACTCCCACAACAACAGTTCCAAATCCCCGTCGCCAAGTTCGCCCGCTGGAAACGGAAACGAAGGCCTCACGCGGCAGCAGTTGGATCTAATTACGCAAATCATGCAGCAAACGAAACAGGCCAATGCGGCGGCGGCAGCAGCTGCGGCAGCCGGACAGAAGGTCCCACCGCGGCCCCGTACCTGGAACATGCAGGTAAGTCCCCTTGAATCGAAGGAAAATTCAAATTTTCACAAAAATGGCAGCCATTATCATTGTATCTTTGCGTCCTTGGCTCATGAATACCAATACGGTTGTATGCAGATACATCTCCCTTGTGTTGTTCCACTTGATGAGCATGGGCGTCGTCATCGTCATTGTGCAAGCTGGAGCAGAACAAATTCAAAACAACATATATTACCATGCAAAAAAAAAACAACAACTGCAAAAGGATCAACCATCATCACCGGCGACAACGGCAACCGAACCACTCCCAGCAGACTCGGTGCAAAAATGTGCCGGAGTGTGTAGTCGTTTGCATCAGGTTTTTGAACATACCGAGAACTCTAACCTAACACAGATCGCCCCACATGCCGGGGCCTCATGATGGTATCGAGTCCTATCCATTTGAAAAGCACTCGATGATAACGCCCAACGACAATGGGTGGAAAGTTTTAGTTACAAGAGCGGTGAATCGAACGCAGAATAGTAAACCAGGCGCAAAGCGCAGAGATAAAGTTCAGGGTGATTTTTCAAAAAGGCGTATCTGCTTTTGCTCTCCCACGCTTTGGGGAAACACTACCCTTTCTGATGGTGGGGTTAGATTACTAAGAGCTTCGACATATTGTCGTTTGAATCGGTGGTTACATAAGCACATATGTCCTTTTGAGAAATCATTCTCGAAGTGTTTTCTTTTTATGTACCGTTGCAACTACCGTACAAGCACTGGCTGTGGAAGTAGGTCCGTTCGGCTGTTGATGATGGAGCAGATTGGGGGAGGGTCAGCCGATGACGCTCAGAAAGGGTCTGCCCATCAACACGGTGCAGTCAGGGATGAAGTCGATGTACGAAATCGGAAAATGTCTTGCTCAGTCTAATTAACTGTCAGAATTCTTCTTTTTTTTAAGTTTCCAATCTCCAACATTTTTTCGTTCTGGTAAACTGTCTTCATAATGCCTTAGAAACTGGCTCCAGAAATCTCTTGGAATTCACTCTTCCAATTCTAAAGTGTTCATAGGTCTCTCCTTGGAATATGCCTCATAATTCTCTTAGTATACCATTCAGAACGACCCACGGAATTTTCTTCAACTGGTTTCTTGGTTTAGCCACCTCCAGCATGGTCTTGCTTTGTAGCTGCGCCTTTACCGACTAAGCCAAGGGAGGCCCTTTCAAGTTCTTATAACGACTTAAAAATGAGGCTGCTTAGAATTCTATAGACCACCTTCAACCAAGCTGCTTAAGCCACAAATAGCCTTTTATTGGAACTTTTGGTTACTTGGGATGCTTCCGTAGTGCCTGCTTCATGATAGCTCAGTATTTTTCGATGGGTCTTAGTTCCGGTGCGTTGGGGGGGGGGGGGGGGGTTCATGTCCTTTGGTACGAAAGTGACCCAGTTGGTTTCGTACCACTCCAGAACAACATTTGAATAGTGGCATGAAGCTAGATCCGGCCGGAAGATCGCAGGGCCCTCGTGTTGCTTCAACAAAGGAAGCAGACGCTTCTGTAGACTCTCTCTGAGGTAGATCTTCCCGTTTACAGTCCCGGTAGGTGCACTCCGTTTGCCACATGATCAGATCGCTTGCCAAATCATGTGTTTTTTGGCAAACTTTGAAAGTTTCTGTTTCCTTACTTCCTCCGGAACATCAAACTTGTGCTGGGCGGTAAAGAACAGTAGCCCTGGAAGCTGCCGGAAGTCCGCCTTGACGTAAGTCTCATCATCCATGATGAGACAATGAGGCTTCGTCAGCATCTGGGTGTACAGTGACTTTCCCACTGTATTTTGCCGTTCGTCACGATTTGGAGCCTTCTGCACTTTGTACGTTTGCAGTCCCTCCCGGTCCTTGGCTCTCTGAACGAAAAACTTGGACAGATTCAACTTTTTGGCCACATCCCTGACCGAAGCATTGGGATTCCGCTTAAACGCTTTCGCGACACGCTTGCGATCCTGATCACTAATAGAACATCCATTCTGACCGCATTTCTCCTTCCGTTCGATGCTCAGAGTTCCGTAGTAACGTTTAATCACACGACTCACCGTTGACTGCACGATTCCGAGTTGTTTTCCGATGTCCCGATGAGAGAGTTGAGGATTTTCCAGGTGCTTGCGCAACATAATTTCGCGACGTTGCTTTTCGGGTGACGCCATTTTTTCCAACTTTCGAAAAACTGACAGCGATAAAAATACAATGTAAACAATACACTCTAAATTACTCCTACCCAAATTTCCAAGAGAAAATACTCAATGGGTAATTTTCTACAGCGTTTTTTTCCGTGATGCAATTTAATGTGAGACACCCTTTAAAATAAATCCTTCAAGCATTTCCAGCCCAAGCGCGCAAAAAATGATCATTTCGTCTCGGCCCTTTCCGATTTGAATGAAGTTTTACTTATATGTTGGTCACTACACAGAAACAAAATCCATTGGCAAAATTACTATATTGATGGTTTAAATTAAAAACTCCCACCAATAGATTTGTGTAGAAACGAAACTCATTTAATTTTACTATTTTTTTCTAAAAAAACTACTATGCCGTTTGAGTAAGCATAGTAGTTTTGACTGAATGGTATTACATTTGTTTATATTTATAGTCAACTATACTGAAATCATGGTACACGGAACCGAAAAATTACCCAAAATTAAGTTCTTTTCACTCATCTCCCATGTTCCGTTCAATAAGCTAATTTTCAGTAAACCGCTTATAGTAGTTTACATTTGACTACGGCAAAAAAATTACTTACTCGTGAGTATTTTCTACCCAAAATTAAGTTCAATTGACTCAAATTTGAGAATATCTCGTATACTCACCAATAGCATATTGAACGATAGTCACGAGAAAATCGAATCTCTCGTTCCGTTTTTGACAACAACAAAAGGTGAGAGTGGGATGCAAAACTCAAAATTACCTAAAACTAAGTAAAAAGAACTTAAATTTAGGGTATTTTTTTTTTCTCTGCGTAGTTTTAACGGCAACAAGCGTAGTTATACTGAAAATAAGTGTTTTCTGCAAAATAGTATTCCTAACTATGGTTTTTGTTTCAGTGTACACGCTATTCTGGGGCTACTCATTTTTGAGTTGAATATCACTCAATCTGGCCAAAAGAGAAGTTACTCAAAAATGAGTAAACATGTATTTACTCAAATCTGAGTAAACAAGCCTGTGGAGGAAATTGGGTAACGTTCACTCAGTTCTTGACGTTTGCAAACTGGGTAAACGTTACTCATTTAAAAGAACATTAATTTATATGAATTCTAATGGGTATAGAGATAAAATACCGTCAAAATTGAATTTAATTAATAAAACAAACAATAAATCTGCGTTTATTTCTAGAAATAGAAAATAATTCGTAATTGTGGGGTTATTGAAAAAAAATATTCTTAAAGCTTTTTCTGCTTTCAGCAGCAAACTTCACACACTTTCGGGATCTGTACTGGTTCGTTGGTTGCATGGTAGAGCCAGGAATAGGACACTTTACTTTCACTTTTCTGGTCCGGCGTCCCCCAGGATTTCACCTGCATCACAATATTGCGCCAACCAAGGCGCGAGCTAACTGGGTTCGTGGCTGCTTTTGTCCAGTTTCTCGAGCGTACCACGCTTCGTAGATCTTGTTCCACTTGATCTAACCACCTACCTTTTTGTGGACCTCTGCATCTTGCACCAGCCGGACTCGAGGCAAACAACATTTTTGCGGGATTGTTGTCCATTCTTACAATGGAATACGGCACACAATACCTGAATAATGAAAAGTTAAAATGAGCTTCTTAATCCAGATATAAACAATTTACTTACCAGCTAACTGCTGGCAGCTTTCGCAATCCACACCGTTTTGTAGCTTCTCCTTTTTTTAGCAGTTAGGTACCACTTGAAATTAATTCACTGCGCTAACATCATTTTGATCAGCGTTCGCGATGTTAAACTTTGGAAAAAATAAATTACTGTAATTTACCCAGAATCTGGGTAGACTCTACTCATCACAACAAATCTAGCTTACTCAATTTTTGACAACTCCATACTGCACGTAAGAATGAGTGGTATCCACCCAGTCACTGAGTAGACTCAAAATAGCGTGTACCGAAGGTTGAATTTTTTATTCAAATGTGATTATTTTTCTCAAGAGTAACTTTTAAAAACGGCGTTTTTAAAATGGATTTCAATATATCAAATAGTCTTATCTTGAAAAATACTTATCTGATCAAAATTACATCCGAAAAGAAGTTGTAGGTTGTAAACCTTATTTGTTCTTTGAGATAAAAATACACTGGAAGAAAAAAATCTGTAAATTCATGTCAAAAAATAATAAAACGATGATTTTCTCGAAGCACACCGAAGCATTGAGACCATTCACCACTCTTTCGTCTGCGTTACTGTATTGGAAGCAAACCGCAGGATTCACAGCAGAAAGCGCAGACCCTCCAGTGCTTGGAGTATATCTGATCACCAACACCATCATAAGGCTTGTACTCGAAAAAAAATGCACCATTTTTATCCGTGTTTTACTGGGTAAAAATTGATGAAAATCTGGGTATAACTAGTTTGGAGTGAATTGTTTACATGTGCAAAATTTCATAACAATCGGTTCAGTGGTTATTGAGATGTCATCGAAACAAGAAGAAAATCGCCGGAGAATTTTGCGCGCCGTCATGGAAAATCCGACTGCGACCATGAGATGGATCGGAAGACAACTGGGAATCATCCATACAACCAACAATCAATACGAAACTAACGATTTTAAATTGGCTCACCACTTTAGTAGCCTATTGGTCCCAAGCAAACGATTAACGTACCCTATTCTAGTCGAAATTCTAGTACTACGCAATGTTTGTTTTGATTCGCTATGAAAGTTTGACAGATAAAATGAGGGGTTATTGGTTTTTCCTATGTTTCGAGGGGTGATTCGACAAGCTTGGGACCGAAGATAGTACCAGAGGTGAGCCAAAAAGTTGAGCACGTTTCTTCGGGACCTACTTGTCTTAGAGTTACCTCTATGATACAACTGTG